ATAGAGTGTGACTATGACTTCCCTAGATGGAGACACTAGACTCTTGTTGAGGCAACAGAATGACAGTCCAAACCACGACCCGAGGCAGAAGCAAAGCTGGCACCCGGTACTCCATGATGACTGTCTTAGAGTGCCAACAAAGTGGGCGAATTGAGAGAATCGGAGGAATGGTCGCCGCTGCTGCTGCGCCGATGGGCAGAAGAGCAGGGCTCTTGCGGGAATCCCGAACCGGACGGTGCTTCGGGGTCGCCGGGAGCCGGATAAGTGAAAACTAAACTCGGGGTGAAGGGGGTCAAGGAAGGGGTGGACATCAAGGTCGGGGTGTGCAGGGCTTCGGGCTCCAAGGGGCCGCTGGGCGGTAAAGTGATGCTGGGAGGCACTGGGGCGGCCCGGCGTGGGACACTGGGCCCCGGAGGGGATTCCTGCTTGATTGTTGTCGTCTGGTCGCCACCTTCTTTTTCTTTGCCCGGCGACTGCCCTTGGACTTTGCAGGCCGGACGGTGGGCTTCCAGCACCAGCTCCAAGCGCTCTTTCTGCTTCTGCAGCTCCGCAATCTCCTTTTGCAGCTTCGATTGCTCGGCCTCCAACTGGTCTGTCTCCTGGATGGGGAAAAATATATATAATATATAAATATATAAAAATATTATATATATATATATATATATATATATATATAATATCTGAGTAGCAAGGCCCAAGATGGAATTACTGACTTTGAAGAGACCCCAAGAACTTTTGGAAAATTCATAACCTTTTGGGAAAACCAGGGATCTCCACAGCTTGTTGTCGAAGGCTTTCATGGCCGCAATCAATGGGTTGCTGTGAGTTTTCTGGGCTGCATGGATATGATCCAGAAGCATTCTCTCCTGACATTTTGCCCACATCTATGGCAGGTATCCTCGGAGGTCTGTTGGAAACTAGGCAAGTGAGGTTTATATATCTGTGGAATGTCCAAGGTGGGAGAAAGAACTCCATCTATCAGGAAGCAGCCAGGCTTTGAAGCTGCAAGGCCATTCAGTGCTAATCAATGTGACCAATTATAACTTTCACACTTGCCTCCAACAGACAAGAGTTCTTTCTCCCACCCTGGATATTATTCCATATATCAGTGGTTCTCAACCTTCCTAATGCCACGACCCCTTAACACAGTCCCTCGTGTTGTGGTGACCCCAACCATAACATTATTTTAGTTATTGCTTCACAACTGTAATTTTGCTACTGTTATGAATTGCCATGTAAATATCCAATATGTAGGATATATTTCCACGCACTGGACTAAATTTGGCACAAATATCTGATACACCCAAATTTGAATACTAGTGGGGTTGATTTTGTCAATTGGTAGTTGTAGTTGCTGGGATTTATAGTTCATCTATAA